ACATCCTGCACGACACTGTCGATCCAATTCGTGCCTTCCCCTCGTAGTACGAGACTTCGTGGGTAGGGCATTTATCCGCAGTTTAATTCCGTCTCTATATTCCTTCCCTGTTAGCAAACGCGTGGGTTGACTAACCCATCCGTGTTGTGGACCATAATGGCCCGCTTCACGGAGACCGTTGCCATCAACAGACACGAACAATCTATTTGCCCAATACTCTTCTATTGCCGGACGTGTTAGCATTTCATTTTGTTCCGCTAGCAACCTAACTCGGGCCCTTTGCATTTCGTCTTCGATGAAAGAGCTGGCCACTTCGGATTGCTCGAAGTGAGGCCATTTTATATTGCTCAATCGTCTTAGACGAAGCATCTGAGCCATCCATCTTAATGATGGAGTCCCGAGTCCCCCACACTTTGGGGCGGCGTGAACGAATGCTATTGGCACATCCGGTGGTAAATCTAGCCATTTACGCACATAGAATCGTATCAATTTGTCGGATTTTCGTAACACACCTGTCGTCACACTCCCAAGGGTTAGCTTGTGATAGAGTTGTGGGATAAGGACGGTTCGAAGGGCGAATATCTTCTGTTGAGGCTTAAGAGGGGCTTGTGACAACCTTTGTAGCTTTGGACCAATGTCCTCGGCTGGGTTGCACTTGACCCTCCCGTTTGCATTGAAAATGATGCCTTAATACTTCCACTCGTTAGTTCGCTTCAATGCCGGACACCCGTTCAAGCCTACTCGGAAGGTATGCGGATCTAACACAGTACACTTCTGTTTCGGCTGACCCTTAATACCGATAGTGAAACACTTGTCAGCATTAAGGGTGAGTCCAACAGTAGCCAGATAGCTAACTGTCTTGTCAAGCAGTTGTTGAAGCCCCATTCGAGTTTCCGCAAAAAGGACCAAATCGTCTGCAAACGCGGCCGCGTTTGTCATGGCAGTTCCAACCTTGGTACCAATTTCGTTGGGGAAGGCTCTAAGTAAACGGTCAATGACCAGATTAAATAGAATAGGAGACAAAGGGTCACCCTGCTTCACTCCTCTCGCAGGGACGAATTCCTCTGAACTCCAACCTTCTCCGCAGAGACTAGTACCACCAACCTCGTACGAACTTTGTACGTAGTCGACGAAGTCCTTTGGTGCGCCATAAGCTTTTAGGGTGTTATATATAGATGCATGTGACAAAGAGTCAAATGCCTTGCTTACATCCAGATTGGCTATGTAGCAAGATCTATATATATATAGTCGACTATCGTCGCATTATCGGCGCATCCGTCTGTAGGTAAGAAGCCCCGCTGACGCGGGTCCCAATCAACTGATGAGGTCAACCGGGTTGGCAATATTGCATTTAGCTGTCTTACCAATACTGATGGCACCGATATTGGACGAAAGTCTTGCGGTCGCATTGCCGTCCCCGTCTTCGGAATGAAGATGGTTCTGGCCAGTCGGATAAAGCGAGGTAATCTACCGCACCATAGAATTAGGTTCATTATGCGAAGCATAATGCCTGACGGCACCTCCTTAGCAGATTTTGGAGTTATTCCGTCAGGCCCCGGAGAGCTAGATAATGCGACTGCTGATGCCCTAAGTTCGCGCTTTGTAATAGCGGACCAAACCCTCTCAAGCGAGTGAACTGGAGTTGTCACTATATCTTCGCAAGAGCTTGGGCTGGGCTGAGTCATTATCTCCCTCCAATAGGGTTCCATAAATTCTCGGTTTGGCATTACCGACTCATCAGTTTCCTCAAGTATTGACTTAATGCACCTTCCTTTATGCTTATCCCAGTTTCGCTGGATGACAGCGTACTGCTGCCTTCTGCTTTCTCTTCTATTCCGAGGCCGCCGTGCCGGCCTCGTCAGCGTGCGTCTTGCACCCTGTGTCGGAAAAATTCCCTGAAGATAAGCGGATAAACACTGGAGAGTGGTTTCCTTCCCCTCGATCTGCGCCCTATCAATGATAGTTTGCAGTTCTTGGGCTCTCCATCTGGAAGGACAAACTACGGGGCTATACCCGCGTAGCGCCAACAAGATTCCACTGTTCGACTGTTCTAATGGTATGATTGGAGATGTTTCAGACGTTGGTACTTGGGGGTTTTGCTCACTATTACTAGGGCGGCGCGGTATGGTTAGATTAGCAACTTCTGGGACGAGAGCAGATTGCCCCCTTATCTGCTCGATTTTCTCCTTATAATCGTCCCTCTGTCTCAGCTTTTTAATGGCTTCGACGCTACGGTTCGTGAAAAATACCGCTAGTTGCTTATTTATGTGTTTGATACCATTTGCCGTGAGCTCAACCTCCTTTCTCGCCATCATCATCTTCTCTTCCTCACACCATCTTGCCTTGATATCAACACGTCGACGAATATCATCAAGTTCGTCTGGGTGTTGAGATCTCATGTGAACACCGAGTCCTCTTTTGCTTGTAAAGGACCGGCCACATATTGTGCATGGTACCCCTCCAACCGGAGTAGCCGATGCGCTTGGTTCATATTGGGCATCCCCTGGGAAGAGATCCACAGGGGGTCGGGTCGTCAACGAATTTTCCACTAGTATCCGAGGCCTGTTTTCATTTATTTCTGTAGTTCCATTATGTTAATTTCCCATAGGGTAACCAGCCCTATGGGAAATATATTCGCCGCTCAAATTGGCTGTTAAACAGTAAAGCACGCTGTATAACATTACCGGGGAACACCACGAGGAGGTTTTGAGTCGACTTGAATCTAGATATGACTTATGAATTACAGAATAATATTCCCCTTCTGCACATCCGAGGATATGACTTATGAATTACAGAATAATATTCCCCTTCTGCATATCTAAATTCCAGTTCCCCTTAAGAGAGTCATAGTTACTCCCGCCGTTGACCCGCGCTTACTTCAATTTCTTCACTTTGACATTCAGAGCACTGGGCAGAAATCACATTGTGTCAACACCCGCTAGGGCCATCACAATGCTTTGTTTTAATTAGACAGTCGGATTCCCCAAGTCCGTGCCAGTTCTGAATTGATTGTTCATTGATAATCGTTATAATTAATAAGAACTAATTGGTTTAACCCAATTAGTATTCTTAAAAATTTTAGCAAGAAAGTTCCACAATTGGCTACGTAACTAAACTATCCGGGGAACAAGTGACCAACATAAATGCCAGAACGAGCACATAAACCATGTTATTGTTTCCCAATCAAGCCCGACTATCTCAATCTTCAGAGCCAATCCTTATCCCGAAGTTACGGATCTAATTTGCCGACTTCCCTTACCTACATTATTCTATCGACTAGAGACTCTTCACCTTGGAGACCAGCTGCGGATATTGGTACGGCCTGTTGAGAAGTTTGCGTGTCCCCACCATAAATTTTCAAGGTCCGAGGAGAAAATATCGACACAACAGTATATGTCATGCTCTTCTAGCCCATCTACCATATCTCTCTGCGAAAGACTTCCATGGTAGTACGGCTATAAAACAGAAAAGAAAACTCTTCCGATATCTCTCGACGGCTTCTTTATGGTCGTTCCTGTTGCCAGGATGAGCACGAGGCCCATATTTAATAACAAACGGATACTCAACAGGTTACGGAATTGGAACCGTATTCCCTTTCGTTCAAAATTATTCAAGTATATTAATTAGCTTGATTTATATAATATAATATATTTGTATGGCATTTGTGTTTTACTTGAAAATTTTCGGCTTTCGCCTTGAACTTAGGACCGACTAACTCGTGATCAACCACTGTTCACACGAAACCCTTCTCCACTTCAGTCCTCCAAGGTCTCATTCGATTATTTGTATGGCATTTGTGTTTTACTTGTGTAAATTAAATCCGCCCTAAATTTACATTTACATTTTCTTCATTTAAAATTTTGATGAAATCTTTCGCACAACTACGAATGGGCTTATGCTTTATAAAACATTTCTTTAATTTATAATTTAAGTCGCCCTGATCTAGAACTATGCCTCCCAAATCTTCCTGATTAACAGGGTTTACTTACATCTCCTCCGAAAAATATTGAAAAGATGTTTCAGATATATAAATACAAAATAAATAAAGTCAATCGAACTACCGGAGAAACAGATGTTAAACAACAAATATAATTTTTAATAATATAAATAATTACTTAGTAGTAGTACTTATACATGTAAACACATTTCCGCCAAAAAAAAATGTAACCCAAAAAACGGTCTATTACATGCTAAATACCAAATATAAGAAATACCAAGTAATGGAAATCAGTTTTACTCATTTCTAAATACGAAATATACCGAATCCCACAATTCGGTATTTTAGGGATTTTGCGACAGGTAACGCCAATGTTTTTCATTGCTGAAAAGCCACTCTGTTCAACCTGCTTCCATCTGCGCAGTCGCAATCGGACCATTCGCGAGGCATGTTCTACATTGGAGGGCTTATAATCAAAAATGCGCCGGCGGAACTAAAATGGCATCCGATCATGATTTTTTGTACTTAAATCCCTGATTTTTATTTAAAACTATAACTAAATTATAATTATGAAAAGAAAGACGGCAGTCCACCGCATTTCTGCAATGCGACGCGACGCGGTCGTACTGCCCACACTGGCGGCAGACCTGCTTCTCTCGGGCGTACCGACACTCGCTGACCTTATGTTCAAACCCAAGGCATCGGTGGCCCGCGTAGATGCGCACCTGAGAGCGGCAGCGGTAGGAGAACCACTTTATGTAGACTCTCCCGCCGTCGAGAACGGCTAGCGCCTGGTCATCTACCTCCAGAGTCACATTTACTGCGGTGCCATCTGCAGCTAATCAGGGCTTGGTCTCCAGGACTACCGCCTTCTGGAACTCCTTGAGCGTCATCTCGTCGAAGTTTTTCTTCTTCAGCTCCATCATGAACTCATCCGGTCCCACGGAGGTGTCCACATCCTGGACCGGCTGCGTATGAGAAGCATTCAAAAATCAAATATCTGGAAGTTTTCCCCAGGAATACTAAAACTGGATTTAAATTTAGAATTTTTATTTATTTATTTTCAATCAGAATCGCTCTCGGGCTCTACTCCTGGTTCCGGGTTGGCCTTCCTTAGGGCGCTTTTTTCTTTATAAATTTTATTCTTTTGCCCCACGAAGGTCAACCGGATGTCTTTTACATAGTTCAATAAGGCATACCCTTCCCTTATTTGTGACTCTGCAAAGATATAAGCACATTTAAAATTATTAGCTTTGGTTAATATTTATAATGTAATATATTATTTCTAATATTGGCTCCTGTTTATTACAAAGTAAACGTCACAAAGTTTTTAATCATATAAATGGACGTACCTTGCAAGACTGAATTCAAATTATGGAAATTTGCAAGTCCATATTTATGTCTAGACCCACTGTAATTCAATTGAATGATTACTTCAGGGCTTATTATTTGGTCCAAGTTTTTTATCAAATTATTCCCCAAAATGGATTTAAAGAGCGGTACCTGAAATAAAAATATAAAAATTACTATGAACGGGTGTTTCTGTCGATTAGGAGAAGCTGGACATCTGTTTTCTGGCGACTCTGAGAAGCAGTGGACAACAGCAGCTTTAACAGCGAATGTTAGATTTCTGCTGCAAATGTTAGCAGCACTACACTACGAAGAAGACATAAGGAGAAGCTGGTCGCGTTTATAACCGAGCTTTTATATTTCCTAATTTGTAAATCAAGTTTAGCAATAAGTCAAAGATTGAAAGTATACAAATGAATACAACTGGTGAAGTTCAACATATTTCCGAGTTTTTATTACAAAGTGTGTGAAAGACCCCCAGAGTAGACTTCTGCTCAACTTTGACAATCGGGTGCGAAACGTCACAACATACTAGAAAATATGATTAACAACTCACATTAAGATTCGGAAATAATACAAAATTATATTTTTTAAATCAAAATTTACAACGCAATGTAGGAGAAGATTCCAGCCCCATAAAATTATCTTCTCCTACATTGCGTTGTAAACTTTTGATATTAGAAATATAATTTTGTATTATTTCCGAATTTTAATGTAAGTTGTTATTGCTGTGAAAGTATGTCCGTGAACGCTTCGATTTTGAAAACGTACATATTTTTCCATTTTTCCGTATATCTTATCGTCCTCCTTTAAATGGTCTAGCGACCGGATTGGGAAGTCGGTCTTTAAAATTGGCTCGACTGGTGCCATTTTCCTCCAGAGAGCCAACACTTGTGCCTGTGAGTCGAGAATGGCAGAGTTCACGGCTTTCAACTCCGCCATATCAGTCCGCATTTTGTTGACCTCACTCCCCATCGCGCGGACTACTTCCTCCAGGCGTTGGATCCGTCCATCCAGCCCTGCAAACCTACTCTCCTCGGATGGCGTTGGCACATTTTTCATTTTGTGCAGATTGAAATTCATTTTTCTTTAAAAAAGGGAAGAAATATGTTAGAAAATTATCTTAAATATGAAGGGCATACCTGTTTGCCATGGACTGGACCTTAAGGCTCACAGTCCACCTCCTTTAAATAGTCTAGCGACAAGATTGGGAAGTCGGCCTTTAAAATTGACAACTATATATAGCCGCAGAATTGAAAATCAGAGGTGATGGTTCGGTCATTACGAGGGTACAACAATCAAAAGGTATGTCCAAAACTAAAAATTGATTACCAAGAATTTAATCAATTTACCCGTTATTCGTTGAGTAAACGGTTATACTAGATTCGTCGGAAAGTATGTAACAGGTAGAAGGAAGCGTTTCCGACCCCATAAAGTCCTTAAATTTTTGATCAGGATCACCAGCCGAGCCGATCTAGCCCTGTCCGTCTGTCCGTATGAACGCTGTGATCTCGGAAACTACAAAAGCTAAAAATTGGGATGAGACATGCAGATTCTATAGACTATTACGCAACGCAAGTTTATTTTAGCAAAGTGTCACTCTAACGCCCACAATCCGTGCTAAACTGTGGCGCCCACAGTTTTAATGCTAGAAAAAGAAATTTAGCTGAAATTTAGTATCGTCAATACCTATCGATTGACCTAAAAAAGTTTTTCACGCCCACTCTAACGCCCGTATTTTCTATCACGGAAGGCACTAACAAGTGACTTCTAGAAGATGAAAACGATCGTCCGCGATATCGCACTCGGATCGCGGAAGTGACTCCCGTCGGGAAGAAATGAGCCACTTCGGCGACACTTCTCGAAGTCACTTCTGCGTTACTTCTGTCGAGAAGTGTCGCCGAAGTGGAATGCGATATCGCCAAAGTCCTTTCTGAAAGTATCCAGAAGTGACTTTACAGCTTAACGCTTGTAGATGATGCCTAGAAGATCCTTTCGCAATTGGAAAATCTAAAAATAAACAATATTCATTTGACTTATTTAACTTATTTTGCCTTTGTTTTTTTATCTGGGCTTTTGCCGCTTGTAGATACGGTCCCTGGCATGTTAAATAACTTTGTTTATGTCCAGCTCTGTTGATATTGGAAATTTACTAAAAGCCACGTCTAAAAGAAACAGAAAAAAATGGGTTTTTATTCAGTAAAAAAAAAATTAACTTGGCATTACCTCTATTAATCACATATGTGAAGAATATTTGGATGCTGGGTTTACACAGAGATCCCCGGCACGTTATGTTCACAGCTAGCTTGTCCGAAATAACGGCTTTAATATCCAGCCTTGTAAAAGTGGGAACATCGTGTCCTCCAACCATTTTTAGTTTTTATTTATAGAAAAAGGCAAACATATTATTTATCAGGAAACCGTAAACGACATACAATATAAGTAAATTACCAGTTCTCTCCGCATTTCATAATCAAGGGAAGGGTTTCGAAGGGCAGAATTTGAAGCTTGAAGGCTCCAGAACAGGTAGGGACTTTAGTGGCCTTTCTTCGCCACAGAGCATAAAGACGTACTCCGTAAGCGTTTTTAACAGCTTTTGTGTTCCTTCCTCCCTGCGCCTACTTTTCTCCAATTGTTTTAATGTTTGCTCTTCCCTGAGTCGACGCATTTCCAGTTCCTTCAAAATCCTTTCAAAGAGGTAATCTGAAAATTTGTCAATAATTATTAAGACTGGCAATATATTTTTATAGAAATATACACTTGCTATGGGGTGAAATTGCGTCGAACTGAGACGGATAAGAATTTCCTAGAAAATAAAAGTTATTATTGTGTAAAATGTATACACTCAAAAAACTATTTGCCACACAATTTTAGAAATCTGCAAAAAAAATTTAAATTCATGCCGAATAGTTTTTAGAGAGCATGTAATTTTTTTAGTTTCCATGCAAATTACACTTTTTTAGTTCTTTATGAAAAAGTTAGTTTTATAATATAAATAAAAATTTAATGATACAGTTAATACTTACCTGCACCGGTGTTAAAATCAATGTTTTTATTTTACACACGCACGGAAAAATAGGGAAAGTGTTTTGTGTGTTTTTTAAAATTATTGCTTTGTTTTTTATATCGCTAAGGTTAAAGCTAATACTTTTATCAGTTACAATCTCACTACTTTAAAAATTTCAATTTGTTAGATTATAAGGTTGATTGAAAAGTGGTTGTAAGTTTATAATAATTTTCCCTTCAAAAAATTAAACATTTTCTTTCTTTTTAATTTTGTTAATAAGGAAAACCGTTTCATTGACATTACAAATATTGTGAGGCATATCAATAGAGAAGTAAAATGTTTCAGTTTTTAAAAAACTATGCAGTTCCTACCGATGAGTTGTCGACTAAATATTATATCAATACTTGTTTGCTTCCTTTTGAGGGAATAACTCTTTTCAACATGTCTGTTGTAAATTTAAGCAGCATCATTATTTGATTTTTTAACCAGTTTTTATACCCGTTACTCGTAGAGTAACAGGTAGAAGGATGCGTTTCCGACCCCATAAAGTACATATATTCTTGATCAAGATCACTAGCCTAGTCGATCTAGCCATGTCCGTCTGTCCGTCTGTCTGCCCGTCCGGGTATACTCTGAGATCTCAGAAACTACAAAAGCTAGAAAGTGGTATGTAGATTCCTGAGCTTCCTGCGCAGCGCAAGTTTGTTTCAGCAGGGTGCCACGCCCACTTTAACGCCCACAAACTTAAAAAAATCTTAAATATGAACGCAGATATCTCGAAAACTTTCAAAGATAGAGAATTGGGATTTCAGATTTAGATTCCGTAGCTTTTTACGCAGGGCAAGTTTGTTACGCGAATATGCCACGCCCACAAGCCGCCCACACCTGTGGCGCCCACAATTTACATACTAGGTTAAAAATCTTTACTGAAATGTATTGGTCTCGTCAATATTTATCGATTGATTAAGAAAAAACGTTTGTCATGCCAACTCAAACGCCCATAACGCTTAAATCTGTCTTCCGCCCACATAACCATATATTGAGATCGCGGGTAGGTGGCGCATTTCGATCTCGCTTGGCTGCTTGCATATCTCCATTTCCTGTTGGTCCCATTAGCTGAGTAACGGGTATCTGATAGTCGAGGTTTTGGACTATAGCGTTCTTCCTTGTTTTTTTTTATTGAAAATACGCGTCGATGGAGGGGACACATGATAAAATCAGACAATCCGTTCAAAAGTTATGCCCAAAACTAGATTTGGGGGACTAGTGAAAATGAAAAATTAACATTGTTTTGTCAGTTTGTCCCAAACAGCTCGATATAAGAAACATTAGTTCTACCACTTTTGGAAAAACTTGCTAGTTTAGCGGGAAAACAGCTATAAATAGCGAAATTTTGGAAGGCCCCATCTTCTGTACTTCTAAAGCAACAGACTTGGGCTATACCACGTTGTAAAGGTATTTCGAAATTTTATAAACGCCGCTTAAACGAAATTTGTCTAAATAAAATATTTTCAAAATTATAACAAGAAACATTTAAAAAAAAATTTTTTTTTAATTTACTAAAAAACGTCTCTAACGACGTTGTCTTTAAAACTTTTATCTTTACAGCTCTTGAGATTCCTTACATTTTTGTATATAACACGTTATTGTTAAGATCCACGCTTAAAAGGTATTCAAAAATACACGCTACAATAGAAAATGTCTGTGTGTGTAAAATCTAAAATATTTTTCTATAGCGGTCCGAATGGGTAATTTTTAGAAAGGGTTTTTATTTTTCCGAATGTAAAATTATTTTTCGTCACAAATTATGATATCAGAACTTTTGTATGTGCGGCCGTTTCAATTTTTTTTACATCGTTAAAAGGTGTTTTTGTTCGATCTTAAAGTCAATAGATCAGAGCTAAACTACACATAAATGTAATTGGGTAAGGGTAATGACAGCGCAGGAGCTCGACAAAGACGAAATATGTGAATCCGTTAGAAAATCCTAATGTGTTCTAGCTTGAAGTTTACATTACATCGAATAAAACAAGCCCTAACGGAAAATTTAATATATAGTGTACTCTAAAAGTTCCGTTTTTTGGCCGATAAGAGAGAGACAAGGTAAAGAGCATTTATTTTGTTATTATTTTAAAACTTTTAAAGAATTTATAAAAATCTGATTTCAATAGATTACTCTTTTTATAATTATTTACCTTTTAAATATATGATGTAGGTATTTAGTCCACTATAAAATCAATTTTCCATGAATTTTCGCCATATTCGGCTTGTTTTATTCGCTGGTTTGTAAACTTCAAATAAGAATTATCCAATCATATGGATGTATGGCAAAGTTTAGCTCTGATCATGGTACAATTACATAAGGTAGGTCCCGTAGGTTTCCTAATCGTTCGGCCTTCAGTCCGTTGACGTGTTTCATCGATATTGCTATCCCTTTCCCCTGCACGTATTGCGAGTATCGTTAACGGACTATATTTTGCCGGCGGGACTACCTGATCTATTGACTTAAAATGCATCAAAAGCTGGCTTAATTGGGTGGATAAGACTCGAAGTGAAAGAAGAAATTCGGAAAGCCAAAAATGTAACAATGTTTAAAATGTTTATTGTAACTTTTTCCATACTAAACTAACTTCTGCAAGTCAAAGTTCCTATAATTTCCAGATCCGGAGTGACCAGTATTTCTTTGCTGACAGGACCAGTGGCGTCATTTTTGCTTGTGCAAAAATTGCTGGATCAACAAGAAATAAGCTGAAAAAAGCTGAATTCAGGAGGAAAATTTATTACATTTTTTATAAAATACTGTGTTTATTTTTCGTTACTTCAGACTTAAAAAAGTGGACAATGTTATGTGGCCTTTGGTTTTTGAGAGCTGTTTATTGTCATTTTTTCTATACTAAACCATGTTCTGCAAGTCGAAGTTCCTATAACCTTACCCGACCTTATGAACGCTGTGTTCTCGGAAACTATTAAAGCTAAAAAGTTGGTATATGGCGTGGGTGCCACGACACAAACGCCCATTCCGCACATGAAGAAATGACTGCCGGAGATTATAAAATTAAAATCATTCAGCACCAAAATATTATTAAGTCGTGGTAAAAGTTTCTGATTTTACGGCAAAATTCACTATTAATTACCCACAATTTTATACCCACTTATAAGTTAATTTTAAGAGCTAGTTGAAGCTTTTTGAGTTATAACGTTTAAAGTTAACGTTCAAATCCTAACGTGACCACTCCTTCTTAACCAAGCAAATCCCTGTAATTTATTTGTCTGAAAAATACCAAAATTATCGAATAATGGAATTTGGAAATACCGAAAAAAGAAGATTTGGCTTCACTCTATAATCCCACAATTTGGTATTTTAAAAGTTTTTTACATATGCAAGGGGAAGGTATTTTCATTGGTAAATGGCCACTCCATTCGACCTGCTTCCATCTGCGCAGTCGGAATCGGATCTTTCCCGTGGCATGTTCTCAATTGAAGGGGTTACATTCACGGCACGTTGCATCGTTTCTTCCAGGTCACACAAGTCGGAGGGATGACCGGATCCGGAGTGGCCAGCAGATAAATAATTTCCAGCTCCCCGACCAGTATATCTTTGCTGAGCGGACCAGTGGTGTCATTTTGAAAAAAAACAATTCAGGGGAAAAATTTATGAAATTTTTTATAAACTAATGTGTTTATTTTTCATTACTACAGACTGAAAAAATTGCACAATGTTCTACGGCCTTTGGTTTTTGAGAACTGTTTATTGTAACTTTTTCCATACTAAACTAACTTCTGCAAGTCAAAGTTCCTATAGTTTCCAGATCCGGAGTGACCAGTATTTCCTTGCTGGCAGGACCAGTGGCGTCATTTTTGTTTGTGTAAAAATAGCTGGATCAACAAGAAATAAGCTGAATTCAGGGGGAAAATGTATTATATTTTTTATAAAATACTGTGTTTATTTTTCGTTACTACAGACTTAAAAAAGTGGACAATGTTATGTGGCCTTTGGTTTTTGAGAGCTGTTTATTGCCTTTTTTTCTGTACTAAACCATGTTCTGCAAGTCGACAAAGATTCCAAGGACTCTCCTCTCACGACTGTTGGCGACGGTGTTTTTGGCGTGCATCCACGAATCCTCCACGCAGCGTCCAGGCCTGAATCCAAATTGCCATCTGCAGCCATCCAGTAGCCCATCCTTCAGCCGATTCACCATGATTCCTTCTAGCGCCTTTCCGAATACTAGCAAAAGGCATATGCCACGATAAGAGGCAGGATTGCTCCTGTCTTTATCTGGCCCCTTTACCAGCGGTATCACTCTCGGGTGCTTCCACTCGGCCGGAAAGTATCCTTCCGAGATGCACCGAGAGTACAGCTTCGTCAGGTGCTGTGGGATGGCACGCCATACCTCCATGACAATCCCGCCCGTGATGCCATCCATACCCGGAAATCGCAGTCTTCTCAGCCTCGCGACACAGGTTGCCACCTCGAGAATCGGTATGTCATCTTGGACACTCGACTCCGCATCAGGGAAGAAGTTGCAGAGGAGCACATGTGCGCAGTCGTGCCAGGTTACGGGGAACGCGCCGTTTGATCGAAGACATCCGAGATCGGCTGTCTTTTTCCGGCCTCGGCATATCCGGTAGGCGTGCCCTCATGGATCATTCCTGTGCCGCCCACGAAGTCCCGCCAGTTTTGCTTCTTTGTCGTCAAAGTAAGCTTCTTGTACTGGCCTGAAGCAAGCCTCAGTCCAGCGGCTCAGCATCGTCGGTGGCACTCCGGCGAGCTGCGTGCACAGTCGGATTCAAATCGTTTTCGCTTTCATACCTGTTTAATTTTTGCTCCGTTTTTAAAGTCGATTTCTGCGTATGCAACGAGATAATTTGAGGGCTAAGATGATGGCCCTTGATGACAATTATTGGGCTAAGATTGCGTCAAAAATCTTAGATGACAATTGGGACGTACCACCAGAGAGCCGTCCCTCATCGTCGAAAATTGCTAAAACGAAGGATGGTGCACCAGGTGGCCGCCAAACCGACGGTCTCCATCATGGAAAAGGTGAAGAGTGGAAATGATGCCATCGCTGCGGAGCTCGAAGACTTCCGATCGACCCACATGAAGGTGGTGGTAAATCAAATATCGAGCGCTTACGCGGCGGGATGTGTTCAGACTACTATGAACCGATACGAGGAGATTATTACCGCCATGATGATCAGGATTGGAGTTTAGCCTTGGTGATCTGCTAATGGTGCCATGATAAACGTGACGCTGGAGGTCGAATGGTTCTCCTACCGATGCCGTACGCAGGTTCGCACTTATGCGTGCCTTAGATGCAAATATGAGGAGGACAAGTTGGTCTGCCGCCAGTGCGGACAGGACAACCACATTGCGGTAAAGTGCAAGAACGTCGTAGACTGCGGAAACTGTCGACACAAGGGCTTTCAATCGGAATATTATATGCTCTCGAACGGCTGCCCTGTTTATAGTGCGCTGCTAGCCCAGGTGAACTCTAGATATTAAAATGTTTGGACTCACTTAAGAAGAAGAGGCCCTTACGCCGTCATCGAGACCCTAACGACGCAGTACGGAACGTGCGTGAGTGTCATTGGAAAGTATGGTACATTCTTTCTGGCGGCAGTATACTGCAACCACGGCGCTGCTCCAGAAAGGAGACGCAGGAAGTGTGGGCGGAATATTCGCATCAGGACCGGACTAAAGAGGTTCGAGGTTGGTCCAATACAGTGACAACAAACGACGGAAGAGAACTTTTGCAGCTGCAATTTTCTATTCAACTTGAAGCTTTCTCTCCATCAGGCGAGGGGACAATCAGTTTAGGAAGTTAGCAGTTTTTATGAAATGCCCTCTGCCCCTGCTTCCGCTTATTTTTCCCATCCTCTTTTCCGTCTTAACTCCTTCCGTTTTGGGCTTGTGAGAGCTTTTGCTAATTTTACAACGCACATTACGTATACGACGTGGAGGAAGTTGCACATTTTTGCCAGGAATAACAGTCAGCCAGGTGGTTCATAAAGATGCCAAGCTGGGCTTTTTGGTTTAGAAAAAAACAATTTGAAAATATAATAACAATGTTAAAATGTATATGTACGTCCACAAAATTGAACTTCTTAAATTTACTGAATTCCTTCCCTTTTTAAAATTGACGAGTATTTTTAACAATATCGTATTGGTGTTATTTATTTATTTGTGCTCTCCCACAAAGTCCCAAAAGGGTCTTCTAAATTATCGTCGTCTGGTGACTGTACAAGAATTTAATGTGACTAACTCAAAAATATTAAAAACAATATCAATATATAAAAAAACCCCTAATATAATAACATCGATATTTCGATAAATTATCAACAACCCTGCGAAGTATCTTGATATATTTTTAAGAATTCGATAGAGCCCGCTGAGAGTAATTAATCTTTCATTTGACATCTCTACTTGTTTGAAACAATAAGTATTCATAGCTACTCATAGAAAAAACTAGAAAACAATGGAGGATTTTTTAGGAGAGGAAGAGGAGGCGATCCCGCGAAATAGGAGAATCGCCAAGATGAAACGTGCTGATTTGATCGCTGAACTTCGCCACGAGCAAAGAAGAACCCAGGCGATGGTCAAGCGGCGGGACGAGATTAAAGCTGCCCTGCGGCAGTGCATCATACAGCTGACGGACACCAGGCGCATTTCGGAGGAATTGGCCAACGAGAGGAATGCCCTGTTGCAGACGTTGCAACAGGAAATGCAAGATAACGAAGCCAAGGAGACGCACCTCAACTTGGAGATCGGTGTGATGGCCAATCAGCGGGATGATTTGCACCAGGAAATGCAAGGGGTGAAAGATGAGCTGAGCAGGATCCACGAGGAGAACAGCTGTTCGATTTGCCTCTCGCCCTGGGATTCCGAAGGCCCCCATCGCATTGTGTCCCTGAAGTGCGGCCATCTTTTCGGTGACTGCTGCATCCGCCAGCACCTGGTTCACAGGACAGACTGCGCCCTCTGCAAGCAGCCAGTGAGTCATCAGGATCTGCGATATCTCTTCGGCTTCAATGTCCTGGTGGCTACCCAGCCTGCTCCGTTGGGACAAGCTGCTCCTTGATCAACATCGGTCTCCCCAAGAACAGTGAATATTTTCATACCTTTAAAACAAATAGTTGATTATGGTTATTGTATACTTTTCTTGAAAATTCAAAACTACAGCTTAAGTTTTATTGTATATTTTTTTTTTATCATAAGCTGATATAGCCCAGTGAATATATTTTCTAAACAGTAATATTTATTTATTTATTTATTTATTAAAGATGTTAGAAAAGTTTACAAAACTAAAACTAACATAGGGGGTTGTAGTACTAGCTGCGGGGCCTTCGACTACCTAATTTTTAGTAACTGAACTTAATTTAAGAATATTTTAAATTTTGGTTTTAGATTAATTTGTAAAAGTTGGTTTTTTTTAGAAAATTTATGATAGTAGTTATATTTTCTGCTGTTGGGTGCATGAGGTAGTCGGTGGCTTTGAGATTTTTAAAAAGTAGTTGCTTGTCCTGGGCTATTGCTGGGCATGAATCTAAAATGTGTTCCATCTTAACTGGAGTTGATTGGCAGAGAGGGCAGTTGCGAGAGGTGTTTGGATCGAGAAGGTGTTTGTGTGTTATGATTGAATGTCCAAGGCGGAGTCTTATAAATTTGATTTGGTCAACTCTGGTAATTTCTTCTTGAATTATGTTAGAGAGTGTTGATATGTGGGTGTTGTTTGTGTTAATGTTTTTGTACCATGTGTTGCATTTGTTTATTAGGGTTTCTTTTTCTTGCGTTAGGTGATTTTTTAGAAGTTTGTTTATGTCTTTTATATTTTCGTTTTTCGTATATATAAGTGGCATTTTCGTTGCTTCTTTGGACGTTTTGTCTGCGAGTTCGTTTCCTTTGATGTTGGAGTGTCCTGGGGTCCATAAAAGTTTTATTTTAGGTTGTTTTGTTGTATTTGTGATCTGATGTGTGCTGGGTATTTGTTGAGGTTTTGTGGATTGCGGATTGCTTCGATCGCTCCTAAGGAGTCAGAGCAGATTACAAATTTTCCTCTCCTACTAATTGCAATTTTAATGGCTTCGAGGATTCCAGTTATTTCTGCTGTTAGGATTGATGAATAAGGTGGCAAGTTTCCGTAGTGCAGTGTTTCTGTTTCGGTGGTTATAGCAAAGGCTGTGTTTGAATTTTGTTGGGATCCGTCCGTGTATATAAATGTATGGTTTTTGTAGTTTTCTTTTGTTTCATTGAAAAGTTTTTGGAATGTTTCAGGTGAAGTGTTGTTTTTTTTTGTAGTTGTGTAGCGAGGTGTTGATTAAATTTTTTTGTAGTTGCCATGGCGGTTTTGTTTTGTATAGTTTTGTTGGTTGGAAGGGTATGCTAAGAAGTTGACAATTTCCTATAGCTCGTTCTAGTGTTGAGGTCCATTTTTTTCTTCTGGTTATTGGTTTGATAAATTTGTGTATTGGTGTATCTTTAGAGCGAATGAGGTTTTTAAAGAGTTTGGTTGTAAGGTGGTCTCGCCGTTGCTCGATGGTTGGAAGGCTGGATTCGTAAAGTAAATTATATGTTGGTGTTGTGCGAAACGCACCTAGGACTGCTCTAAGAGCTGCGTTTAGTGTGGTTTTTAATTTGTTTAGTATGTTTTTTGGGGCGTACCCATATGTATGAAGTGCATAGTCAATTTTAGATATAAGTATGGCTTTTGTGATGTTTAGTAGAGTGTTTGTGTTGCAGTTAAATTTGGGGCTGGCCAAGCATTTTATGATGTTAAGTTTGTTGGAGAGTGATGGTATGAGAGTGTCAATGTGTGAGTTCCAGTTGTATTTCTTGTTTATGGTTAGTCCGAGTATTTTAAGTGATGCTACGTTTTTTATGCTAGAATTCTGTGTTGTAATTACGAATTTGCATCCGTGTTTTCTACATATGTGTAGAAGTTAATTTCCAAATAATTAAAACTTCAAAAATTGGATTAAGATGTCTTATTTATTCGAGATACAAATCGGAACTACTCTACTCTACATAGCGATCCCTATTTAAAGCTGTGGGTTGGGGCAGCGACGTTGGCTTCGGCGGCAGCGGCGCTGGCAGCGGCGTTGGTACCGTTGACAAAATTGCTTGGTTGCAGAATCTGCAGGGTCTGCAGAATTCGTATTCCGTACTTAGTTGCGGCTGACCGGATGCTCGTGTTTATGTTATTGAACTTTATGTTATTGAACTTTATGTTATTGAACTTGGGCTGCAACTTTGTGCTTGACAATGTTGCAATATTTTCGGAGAAAAGTATGCGGAAATATTGCTGTTGTTAACTTAGATGTTCACATTTAGTTTGTGACAGGGATGCGCCTGAGTAACTTCCCCAGTCTTCTATTTTCCTAAAGAGGTGGTTTAGGTTGATGGTAATGTTTTTCTTATTTTTTAGATTTACCAGCAAAAGGAAATCGTCGGCATATGCGCTGAATTTGATCTGTTTTATATCTTGTCAGGATGTTGGCTTGTTTATTGAATGCTATTAGAAAGAGTACCACTGATATGGGGGATCCTTGCGGGATTCCGTTTTCCAAAGGGTGTATGTTTGAGTAGTGTGTCCCTATTCGGACTGTTATCTTTCTGCTTTTGGTGAAGATTATAATGTAATTTATTATTTTGTGGCCGCATTTCCATTTTATCAGTTGGTCAATTATTGAGTGAGTACCTACTCGATCGAAAGCTCTTGCGAAGTCAAGAGAGATGAGTGAGGTATGTTTCCTAGTATTGAGCGACTTCGTGATGATGTGATCTGCATAGAGCAGATTATCTGAAGTCGATTTACCTTTCTTGAAACCAAATTGGTGTGGGTGTAGAAGTTTGTCGTTGTTAAGGAACCACCATAGTCTGTTCGCTATTATTTTGTCCATAGTGTTATTCAGGCAGCAGTTAAGTGAGATGGGTTGGTATGATGAGATGTTGGTTTCATCCTTTTGAGGTTTTAGAATTGGTATGATCAGGCGGTTTTGTGTGAATGAGGTATGTAGTGGTTGAAGATGTGTTGAGAAAGTATTCTATTTTTTATTGATCGTGAACTGTTTTTTATCATGGGGCATGATATTCTATTGATTCCTGGTGTTGTACCGTTAAGTGATTGGAGAGCAATGGTAAATTCGATTTTGGTTATGGGCTTGTCAATTTTTATAGCGGTTGTGGTTGGGATGTAATTGAAGGTTATTGTGTTGTATTTATGGGAGGTGAGTTCTTGGCTGAAGTTTGCGTCTTTTGAGAGATGGGACCAGTGTTGTGCGAGCAGGTTAGCGATTTGGCTTTTGTCGTTGGTAGTCACGTTATTGTTGGTTGTTATGCAGTGTATTTGTTTTGCTGGGTTAAGACCGCAAAATCAGCGAATGCTGTTCCATATTTTTGTTGTTGGTGTGTTTGATTGAATGGTTGATGTGTAAGTGGTTGTGGATTCCCTTTTCCTAATTTTAATTTCCCTTTTCAGGAACGCGTTTGCTTTTCTGTAAGCAATGATCGTTTCTTGGGTTGTGTTTCTTTTCAATGCTTTCCATGTTTGTTTTTTCTTTATGTGTAGCTCTGCTAGGGTTTTGTTCCACCAGGGAACTGTGCGTGAGTGTCGGTTGGGTAGTGTTTGTGGTATTGCGTGGTGTGCGCTCCTTATAATTATACCCGTTACTCGTAGAGTAAAAGGGTATACTAGATTCGTCGGAAAGTATGTAACAGGCAGAAGGAAGCGTTTCCGACCCCATAAAGTATATATATTCTTGATCAGGATCACTAGCCGAGTCGATCTAGCCATGTCCGTCTGTCCGTCTGTCCGTCTGTCCGTCTGTCCGGATGAACGCTGAGATCTCGGAAACTATGGGAGCTAGGCTATTGAGATTTGGCGTGCAGATTCCTGAGCTTCCTACGCAGCGCAAGTTTGTTTCAGTAGACTGCCACGCCCACTCTAACGCCCACAAACCGCCCAAAACTGTGGCTCCTTCAGTTTTGATGCTAGATAGAAAATTTTAACTGAAATGTAATGTTCTCATCAATACCTATCGATTGACCCAAAAAAAAGTTTTCCACGCCCACTTTAACGCCCACAAACCGCAAAACCCTGTGACGCCCACAATTTTCATGCCAGATAAAAAATTTTAACTGAAATGTATTGGTCTCGTCAATACCTATCGATTGATTCAAAAAAAAATTTGCCACGCCCACTCTAACGCCCATAACGCTTAAATCTGTATACCGCCGGTAGGTGGCGCATTTTAATCTCGCTTTGCTGCTTGCATATCTCCATTTAGCTGAGTAACGGGTATCTGATAGTCGAGGTACTCGACTATAGCGTTATCCCTTGTTTTTTTTTATTAGTGCCGTTTCTTTATTTATGTTGGTTGAGGGAGGGTAAAGGTTGTTGTTGTTATGTGTGTGGATTGCAAAGTTGTCCCCGTATACTTTTTTTATTTGTAAAATTGGTGTCTTTTTGTTGATGGTGGTTTCGGTTGGAAAAAGGGTGATGATGATTTTGAAGTGGTCACTTCCGAAAAGGTCATCTATTAGATTTCAGTTTTTTGAGTGGTGTGAGTGAGGGAGAACAAAAGCTGAGGTCAATGTGTGTGAAGGTGTTGTGTGTAGTAAAGTGTGTTGGTGACTTATCATTTAGTAGGGTAAGTTGTGACTGTTCAATGTACTTAGCTATTGTTTTTCCTCTTGAATTCGAGTGTGTGGATCCCCAGTTTTGGTGCCAGCTGTTGAAATCTCCTGTTATTATGACAGTTTCGTTTTTAATGTTATTTACGTTATTCAGATTATTGCGTGAAAAGGATTTGTTGGGTGAAATATATATGGAGTATATTTTAAGGTTTTCTTTTGGTTTTAATTCTGCTGCTATTGCTTCTACATCTTCATTGATGTTACTTTGAGTGGATTGACTTGTGGATTAGCAGGGCTACTCCTCCAAATCTGTTATATCCAATGTTTGTTAGTATATAGTTTATCGGTGTCGGTAGGTAGTGAAAATATTGTATGTGTGTTTCTTGGAGTGAGATAATTTGTGGAGATTATATCTTGATGAGTATTAGTAGTTGGTTGTAGTGGTTCAAATATCCCCTTATATTCCATTGTAATATTTTTAAGAACATATTTTATTGAAACTTTTGTGTTTGTTTTATAACGAAAGTCTTGGTCTTTGTTCTTTTTCTTTGAGGTTTTTAGATGGTTGGATTGGATGGATTTTTCTTTGGTTTGGCTTCTGAGTGCACGGTCGTTTGTTGATGTCGAGGGTTCTTGAAAGTCGTCATTGGTAAGTAAGCGCATTTCTTCATCGAATATGTCGTAGGCTGTGGCGGTTCGTACTATCTTAGA